TCAGATGGTGTTGGGCTTGGGTGGGGAGCATTTCTGACCAGCGGCTGGTTCTCCCTCCCCCCCCCCACGACCCCAGTCACCATGTGTGTCTGAGCACACAGCCTCCCAGATGATAAAACTCATCAATTCCAAATGCATACACCTGCAAGGGCTCTGCCGTTATGCTAGCACCAGTCATCCTCGTCGGCTTCGTGGTAATAGCTGCGTGCGCGGGCGCATGTCCCAGGGCCCGTGCTGAGGCCCAACGTGTAGTGGTAGCCGTTGGGAACCCTGCGGATTTGGTGAGACTGGGAAGTCAAGGACGAGACATAAGAAGTCCTCGAGGACCTTCCTGAATTGGTGGCAACAGCCTCCTCGAAGGTGAGCGTGTCCTCCGGCACGACGCGGTACGGGCTGTCGCTGTCGTCACGGTGTCCAAGGTAGGGGTCGGAACCAATGCGGGCCACCATGGAATGTGCGTGGCTCTGAGAGTCCCTTTGCAGTAGCGCGTTATGCTCAGACAAACCTCGGCTCAGGCGTCCCGGGGAGAACGTGGGCAGGCTGGTTTGGAAACTGGTGAAGTGTACGGGTGAGGAGTTGGCGGTCTTGTAAGTGATGCTGGGGCGGGGGGTCAACGGAGTCTGCGGGAGCTGCCTCCGCCCGCGGCACGGGGTGCTAGCACCAGATGTCGACAGCAAGGGGCTCCCATTAACTGAACCACTACCCTACATGAAAATTGGAACACAGCAAATCAAAAATAAAAAAGGAAACACCAGACAGACACAAAGGCACGCGGGTAAAAAACAGAAGGACAAGCGACAGGAGGGAGAAACACGTCACAAGAGGAGAGAAAAACGAAAGAGAGAGTGTTTAGACAAGCACAGTCAAGGGAAGGAGGTTATAGAGAAGCAATTTAAACAGCGGTGTAAAGAGCTGCAAAAGCGCTGAGAATGATCAATCAGAACAGAAACAATCAGCGCATTAGTAGGACGCAAACCAGCAGACGGCTCCAACAAAAAAGGACATTGTCCAGAGAAAAGGGATACATACCATACATACTTCCAAGGTCCTTACCTGAGCTAGTCAATGGAGCCAGTAGGAAAATGTGTATTATTTTCCACAAAACAAATTTTGGGGAAAAAAACTAAAAATGTTCACATTTTTGGAAGGATGTTGCCATCCTTTTCCAGTTTTTGACAACTGGACATTGTCAATTTTTAAATTTTCTGTAGCTGAAAACTGAAAATATTTTGGATTTTTGGCTGTGTGAAGAAAATGTCTGTTTAGTTTTTCATCACAAACAAAGAGGAAATTCTTTTGACCAGCTCGACTCTAAAACACCCGAGATCATTGAGAACGCTTTCAAATCTATTTACTTTTCAGTACTTATGTAGGGCAGTGTGCATTGGCTTTTTGGGTCTCAAACTGGTCAGTTTCACAGTGCTGGCGAAACTGTGCTCTTATCAACAGTGAGTCTTGTAGAAGTCACACTGGTGTAAAATTGGTGGAAGCAAGAGGAGGATCAGGCCCCCTTGCATTGGTGTTTGTTTGCAGTGTCACATGGAAGAATATGAATTTTCGGAAGTATTTTACCAAATATTTATGTCTTGTTTGCTGGAAACGACCTATCAACGCCCATTGACTTTGGAAGTGAAGCTTTTCTATATACCTACACCAGAGGTGGCGAACCTAAGGCTCAGGGCCTGGATGCAGCCCCTTGGCTTGCCTGGATCTGGCCCCCAAACTCAGGGCTCTCCTCTCCCAGCCTTGGAGAGTCCATGCTGGTGCTCCAGTCCCCATCCCTGCTGTCCCACCAGGGGTCTGGAGCACACAAAATTTACTAGCCTGGGCCCTCTGAGGCTCTGGTGTGTGAGAACATGGGGAGTCATTTCCCTTCTCAGTTGGGGCCACATCCGTGAGGGTTGTGTTTTTTTCTTGTTTGGGGGTTTTTGCTTCTCACGTGTGCAGCCCCAGACTTCTCTTTCTGTGGGTCAACAGCCCCCCACCCAAAAAAGGTTCCCCACCCCGATATAAAGGATCAGGTCATTCCAGTTCTTATTCTGCCATGTACCTTTTTTTTTCCCATTACATGTTTGCAGGTGGATTGAGTGGTGGCGGCGGGAGATAGCGGTTTTAGTCTTATCTGTAGCAACGTTACCACAGACAATAAAGAGGAGGAGATGCAGACCAGGACACGTAAAGAACATGACAGAGCTTCTGACCAATCTGAGTGAATTCAAATCAGCAGGGCCAGATGCTGTTCACCCCAGGGTGTTGAAGGAATTAGCTGGAGAAATCTCGGAGCCACTAGCAATAATATTTACAAACTCTTGGATGACTGGAGAGTCTTGGAAGTCTGGAAAAGGGCTAACGTAGTGACCATCTATTCAGAGAAGAACAAGGAGGAGCAAGGGAGCTGTAGACCAGTCAGTCTGACTTTGATACCTGGGAAGCTACTACAGCAATGTAGAAAACCTTCAGTTTGTGAATACCTGAAGGATGAAGGAGTAATCATGAGCAGCCAACGAGCAGAACAAATTCTGCCAAATCAGCTTGATTTCCTTCTTTGACAGGGTAACTGGTCTGGTGGATGGGGGAATACAGGGCATATAATATACTGGGACTTCAGCATGTTTTTGACACAGTCCTATACGACATTCTGATGAATAAGCTGGAGAAACGTGGACTCAGTGAATGTACCGTTAATTGGCTACATACTTGGTCAAACAACGGCAAACAAAGAGTAACTATGAATGGAACGAGGTCTGATTAGAGGGGGTCTCAAATGGGGTTCCATGGGGATTTGCTGTGGGCTGAGGGCTGTCTAACATTTTCATGAGTTAGACATAGGACCAGACGGCGACACACAGCTGGCAGAGGGGGTGCTAGCACTTTGCAGGACAGAGCTAAAATTCAGAAGGATCTAGATAAATTGGAGAGCTGGGCTACAGACAACAACAGGCAACAAAAAGAAATGTCAGGTGCTGCATGCAGGGGGTGCATCTACACTGCCCCCTTGAGCTATGCAAATTGCATGGCTTATTTCGAGTGTGTTTTGAAAGAGATTATTTTGTAATGTGACGCTGTCTACACAGCACCAATCTAATACAGAAAGGAGAATGTTTGTATGTTTGCGCTCTAATAACTTGAACCCTGTAAGACCTACTGCAACCAAACTTTGCATGGGGTAACCTTTCCTCCAGGAGAAGGGTTTAAGGTTCTGTGGGAGGGAAGAGAGGAGAGGCCGACACCTCTCCCCGGGGCTGCACGGCGCTTGGCAGTGCGGGGAGAAGCTAGAAGCATATGGAGGCCCCTCTTCAATACTGTGATTGGCTTGGGGCTTGGCAGCCAACCAATGGGTGGGTGGGTTGCTGTCTGGGCTTGCTGTAGGCGGAGGAGGTGGGGCTGGTGTTACTGCTCAGCTGCCACTTTGAAAAAATGTCCAGAAGGAGGCTCATCGGGGACCCTGAGGTGAGAGCGGGGGGTTGGAGGGAATGAATGGGGAGGG